ATTTAATGAGCTCACCCTCATGTCATGGCTGGGACTGCCAGTCTGGAGAGGCCCTACGGCCCACAGGCCAGACATCCCCTGCCCCTGGCTAAGAACATAGCTCACCCACTGCTGCCAGGTCCATTCCAACTCCTCACTAGCCTCTGGAGTGGCTGGGAGGTGTGAACTGCCAACCCTGCAGTTAGTGGCCCAAAGCTGAACCCTCAGTGCCACTAGGGCTTCTTTTTAAGGGCATCTCCATTCCTTTGCCCCTGAGTTAATTCTGACTCTGCAACTCTAGGAGGGTTTTCTGGGCGGTGACTCTTCCTGCCTCCCCTTAAGTTCCACAGGGGGGCTCTTTTTTCAGAACACAGTGGCTGGGTAACAGCCCACTGGCCAGGCCTGCCAGGAACAGGGGTGGGGGGTGTTCTGATCCTGTTCCATGACCTGGATGAAGACAGCGCCTGTTTTCTCACTTGTAAAATAAAGATCCTACTGTACCCACTTCCCTGGTCCTTGGGAGGCTTCAGTGAAGGTATGGATGGAGCTGAAGACGGTGCCAGGTACACGGTGCTCAACCGACAAGCGGTAGTGGTCACTGAGCTGGCATGGATTCCACCAGTGTGTTTGGTTTTCTTTCAGTTGTCGGTGTGAGAGCAGTGTTACCGCCTGCGTGAGAACAGTGTTACAGTTGGTATAAGAACGGTGTAGCCCTCTCAGGCTGTTAGATTTAGTTCCACAAGCTGCCTGAGGACAGGGGATGCGGCTTCCTCCTCACTAGAGACTGAATGCCTGGTTCATTGTCATTACCTCAAGTGTTGGGCTGTTGGTTACTGGAGGCAGGATACGAATTTATTGAGTGAGAATTCAAGGGTCAAGAAAACCCCAACCTAAGGCTAGTCTTCTCAGGAAAATGACTGGAAATGGAGAAATGTCATACTGAAGCAAAACAAGAAACACTCAACTCATTTCCTGTTGCTTGTGACTCATGGTGATTCCCTGTGCGTCCCAGTCAAACGGCTCCCTCAGAGTTGCAGTGGTGGAGTTTTTCCAGAGAGGACCACCAAGGATCCTTGGGTGGACCCCCACTTTGGTTAGAAGCCAAGCACACGAACTGTTGGCCCCACTCAGGGGTGCCACGCGTTACATGATCAGTGGAGCTCTGGGAACCACAAAAAGGCTAGGGGAGCTGTCCAGAGGTAGAAGTGGACTTGGGGGAACAGTTGGGTCCTCAGATCCCAGCTCTGGTGGGTGGTGGTGGGATGGGGAGGGAGGGAGGATGAGGGCTGAGGCAGCCTCCTCGGCTGGCCAGTAGGGACCATGTCCTGGGAGGGCGTGGAGCCTAGTGCCTGGGGGAAGGGTCCCGTGGATGATTTTGGGTTGGGCCTTGCTTGATCCTCCTTGGCCAGCCTGGCTTACCCACTCTCCTTCAGCTAATCAATGCTGACCCATCAGAGCCTGGGTGAGTGGACTTGGTCCGATGGCGACTGTGCCCTGTGGCTGCCCTGACCTCGCCCACTCAGCCTGGCTCACAGGCATGTCTCTGCGAGCTCCCTGTTGGTCCTTTGTCCATTCCTCCCAGAAAGCACTTGCCATAGCCTGGTTCCACCTGGTGTTTATCAGCTCGTCGCCCTCCCCAGCCACCAGAACGGCTCAGTGCCCCCAGGGACTGGCGCAGTGTTAAACCCATCGGCTGCCGTGAGTCGATTCTAGTGCCTAGTGATCTTCTGTCGGGTTTCCAAGACTATCAGTCTTCAGTCTTCACAGGAGCAGACAGCCTCCTCTTTCTCCTTCGGAGCTGCTGGTGGATTTGAACCACTTCCCTTGCAGTTGGCAGTCCCATGCCTAGCCCACAGTGCCACCCAAGCTTCCCTAGCACACTGCCGGTGTGCCATAAATGTGTGTTGGTTTAACTTGAGCTCTCACACCCTTGGGATGGGACTCCAGGAAATGCCAAAAATCCTGGGTGTTGGGCCTGCATACTCGCCGCTGAGTGCTCCATGCGGTTGCCTTTATGTGTGCATCAAGCCGCTGAGTGCTCCATGCGGTTGCCTTTATGTGTGCATCAAAGCTGCTTAAACACAGCCCACGTGGTGTAGTGTCACTGAATGTGTGTTTGTGTGCGAGAGGTGATGAAAAATGACTCAAGATGCCCGCAAATTAATTCAAAGTCAAATGAGCTGTTTCTAGCAGCGCTTGTCCATGTTGTCAATTTCTCAGATGCTAAGTGGTTACCATTGGAAAAAGTTTAAGAAGCCCTGGTGACACAAGGGGGCCTCCGGAGAGGGGACAAGCAAGATAATTCAGCAGGGCTTTAAAGCCTGGTCTCCGGACTCCGTGTTCCCAGCTGGCTCCCAGAAACAGCTGGTACTGTGAGAGGGGAAGCGCGCCCTTCATTTGCCCAGCCACATGCCCCTCTGAACCTTGTGTGACTGAGCCTGAGCTGGGGCTAGGAGGAGTCAGTATGCAGTTCAGACACACACACACACACCCCTCACCTCCCACCCCCCCATGGGATGTAAAGTTGGCCCTTTTCTGGCACTTGCCAGGGGTCTTGGGATCACAGAGCTGGGGCTCCTTGACATGTAATGCAGGGGGGCTCCTTGATGTGTAACTCGAGGGGCAGGGTGGTCCATGGGGAGAGTAGAAGAGGGCTGAGGAGATGGCCCTGTAAGAACAGAGGGGTTTGCTTATGTTTTGCCTCCCTCTTCCCCTTCCCAGAAGGAAAGCAGGGAGCGGGGCTTAGGCTGGCTGCCACACCCACCTGGACTTAAACTCCCACTTCTCCCAGGCTTGTCCCAAACTCCATGGACTGTGCTGTGCTGGGCTGGGCAGGGCAGGGCAGTGAGTCACTGCACCCAGCTGATGGTGCCCTGGGCCATTGAGCCCTAGCTTGCAGGAGGAGCAGATGTGCCATCCTGGCTCGGTGCCCGTCCTCCATCCAGCAAGACTGATGGGACCCTCAGTTTGGGCAAAGTCTTGGTCAGGCCCTGCCTGCAGGTTTGTGCCCGGGGAGAGTAGTATCAACAAGGGTGTCCTTCAGTAAGCATGTCCTTAATTAATTAATAATTTAACTCATCATTGTATCCCTTCACCAGCTCTGTGAAGTGGGCACCCTCCCCTCCTCATTGTTCAGATGAGACCAGGCTCAGGGAGACGCTGCCGGCTGGGCTTAAGGACGCCGGAAAACCACTTACTGCTATCCAGTGGTCACCAACTCATAGTGGCCCTGTAGGGCAGCAGTTCTCAACCTGTGGGGTTGCCCGATTCATAACAGTCGCAAAATGACAGTGATGAAGTAGCAGCGAAAATAACTTGATGGTTGGGGGTCACCACCACAGGAGGAACTGTAGGAAGGTGGGGAACCGCTGCTGTAGGGCATGGTAGAACTGCCCTTGCGAGCCTCCGAGACTAACTGTCTGCCCTGTCGTTCTGAGGAGCAGCTGCGGCCTCGGCCTGCTAGCCGTGTGCTTGGAGCCCAGCACTTCACCACCACACCACCGGGGCTCCTAGGCTCCAGGGCACACACCCAGCCTAATGCAGAATTCCTGGGGTCGCGGGGTGCCGGGCCACTAGCTGGGAGGTCAGCAGTTCAAACTCACCAGCTGCTCAAAGGGAAGTAGAGGGGCCAGGCTGATGGCTTCCATGATATTTGCTGTCTTGGAAATGATTAGTGTCTTTATGAATCAGACTCGACTCACGGCAGTGGTTTGATTTGGGGTGGGGACAGGTCAGGGGCTCTTGACTCCAGATTTGATGATCAGTCCCCCGGTCTTTGCGCTGTCTCAGGGTGGGCACGGCCAGATGCACAGACCGGACTTGCACGAACTTCTTCCTCAGCACTGCGGCCGGCCATCTAGGGGCTGGAGGAAGGCGCTTGAAGGCCCAGGTGTCCCTGATAAGGGAAGTACTGACTCACAGTCCTGAGATCTGGGTCAAGGGCGTCAGGAGGGTGAGGGAAACCTGCCTGGTATTTGGACTGGTCTCCCGTGAGGAAGTTGTTCAAGAATGAACCTTCCGCTGAGGGGAGGCACAGGAAGGCTGTGGTGTGCCCTGGGAGCCCCCAGTGGTGGGTGTGGCTGAAGTGGAGGATAGGAGGGTGGGGGCACAGCACCCCACAGCTTGAGGAGTGATCTGAGGGGGACTCCTCTTCTAGGACCTTCGCTGTCCAAAGCAGCTAGTTCCCCTGGAGTCTCCCTGCAGGCAGGGGTCAGGGTGCAGGGCTGGGCAGGGAGCCAGGCCTGGTGCTGCCCTCGACGACATTGCCCCTTCCGGTCTGTGGGGAGAAGTGGGTGTTGGAGGTACAGCCGTCACGGAGAGGTAATGGTGGTTGGGCCTGGGGAGGGGGTAGAGGAAGAGCCCCATATGTCCAGACCTCGTGATGCCAGTTGTCTCTGCGACCTGATCTGGGATCCCAGCCATCGCCCTGCCTGCCAGTGGTCCTGGTGCTGCTGTTTCCTCGGGGTGAGTGAGAGAAGGCCTGGGAGGACTCCGGAGCTCCCAGACCTGACCTGCTCCCCCACCCAGCACAGTAAGGCCTGCAACTCCACCCTTCCTCCCAGGGCCTTAGCAGCTCAGCTTCGGCAAACACACGTGTGGAGTGGGCAGCTGTCCCCAGCCCTTCGCTCCTTCACGCAGCATGTGCTCTTCTCGGCACCTCGAGGCTCTTGGGAGGGGCTGCTGACAGCTCGGCAGAGGGCTCTGCGCCCAGGGGCCTGGGTGGCAGGCTCCCACTACTCCTGCCGTGCATTAGTGCGGCCAGGGCAGGTGGAGGCTGCCCTTGTTCCTGTGCCCCTCCAGGACCTGGCACTGGAGTTCACCAGAGAACCAAAGCCAGCTGCTCCCCCCTCTTACTCGCCCCGAAGTCCTCCTCCACAGGAGGGCGGGCCGGCGGGCGGGGAGTTTCTGCCTGTCCCATTCAGTGACGTGGTTACAGTCCTGGAGTTGGTCATCCATTCGCATCCGCCCTTTCCATGCCCTTCATCCCCTGTGAACATCAGCTCACTGCCCCCTGAGGCTCCGTCCAGTCCTCCCACCGACTATTGTCACTCTGGGAGCCCTGGTGGCGTAATGGCTCCCTGTTGGACTGCAGTCCGCAAGGTCGGCAGTTCAAAACCACCAGCCATTCCATGGGAGAAGATGTACAGTGACAGTCTTCCCAGAAATCCACGGGGCAGCTCTGCTCTGTCCTGTGAGGGCGATGGGAATGGGCTGATTCGTTCGTTTGTTTGATCCTGTACAGGTGGGTCCTAAAAGGAGGTGGTGCCCTGGCACATTCCGGATTAGAATAGGTTGCCTCTGCTGAAAACCAAAGACAAAAGGTGAGAACCGCCGGCCTTTCTCCAGATAAAGGAATGGGAGGTTGGTGAGAAGCGACTGCTCCAAAGTTACCTGGACTGGCCTCCCTGGCCAGGGCTCTTCGACTCTCACTTGGCTGGACTCTGAGTGCCTTCCGTTGGGGGTACAGAACCCCCTCCTCTCTCTGCCTCCTGGCCAGTTGTGCCCACCCCTGCTTGGCTCCCCACCAACCTTGTGTCTCCCCCAACACCTCTGCTCGTAGCCCCCATCTGTGTGTCTCTCTCACTTCGACAGGGATGTCGGGGTGTGTGAGTGTCAGTGCTATTGCCACTCGTAAGTGTGGCTCACACCCGAGCTGCTGCCACCCGAGACCTGTCCCCAGGGAGGGAGGGGAAGGCCGGGAGAAAGACAGACAGACAGATGCAGAGGGAGAGCTGGGAGCCTCCTTCCCCAGCAGTGAGATGGGGTGGGCCACAGAGGTAGAGCTGAGAAGGGGAGCTGGAGGGGGGAGGTTCTCAAGTGGGGGAGAGAAGAGGAGCAGAGACCCAGAGAGCGGGGAGCAATACAGACAGACACGGGAAGGGGGTAGCGGGGTGGGGGTGGGGAGGTTGAGATGGAGACACAGAGGAGGGAGGCAGGTCTGGCAAGAGACAGAGCCTTCAGAGACGGAAAATGTCATGTACCCCCAAGCTGCAGCCCTGCCACCATGAGGGATGCGCCCAGCGTGCACCCGGTGCAGGTCTGGCTGATGGATGTCAGGGGGGTCTGCCTGCTGGGACACTGTCACGTGCCCTCTCCTGACTCTGCCTCCTTCTGCAGCTGGGCCCAGCTCCCCTGATGCCCTCTGGATGGGGGACCCAAAGCGGGTCTTAGCTGCAGCCTCTGCTGAGAGCAATGGGTTCCTGTTGGCTGGGGCTTGCAGAGGCTGAGGGAGAGACGCCCGCTTTCGCAGGCTCTGTGGCCGTGCGCTCAAGGTGGTGGTGGTGGTGTGTGCGACCTGTGCCACAGCAGAGGGGATGAGAGTCTGCGAGGCCTGGGGCCTGAGGGTGGGGACAAGCCAGGAGCAGGAGCAGGGACTCACATGCCCTCCCATCTCTCTGCCTCTAAGCCGGCCTTTCCTTTGCTTCCTCCTCCTCCTCACCCAGTGTCCCTCCCCCCAGGGCCTCTCACCCTGCAGGTCATGGGGGCTGGAGACTGAGTGGCAGGAAGGAGTAGTGCCCATCAGGAGAACCCCAGTGTTTAGTGGGGGTTTTGAGGAGGCTGCTTCTTAACCCTCCTTGGGGTTTGACTTCCTCCTTTCTGCTGTGCAGCCTGGATCCTTCCTTGGGTCAGCAGTCAGTTATTACTACCCAGGGAGCCCTGGTGGGGTAGTGGTTACATTTTGGCCTGCGAACCGCAGGACCAGCAGTTCGGAACTACTGGCTGCTCCTCAGGAGAAAGATGGGGCTTTCTACTCCTGTAAAGAGTCGCAGTCTCAGAAACCCACAGCGTGGGCGGTTCCACATGCCCTGTAGGGTGGCAGTGAGCTTAGTGGGTCTTAGTGTACGCAGGATGAGGCAGGGTTCGTTCTGTGGCACCGAGGGTGGTGATGAGCGGGAACCGATCGATTCAACAGCAGCCAAGCCACAGCCTGTGCCAGGCCTGCACCAGGGAAACACAGTGCCAGTCAGCTCCAGCCCTGCCCCTGTGGAACCCACGTCTAGTGGGGGAAGAGAGCGAGCACACAGGTCAGAAAGTGACCTCTCGCTCATCCCTGACAGTGGGGGACATGACGCTGTCTATTCACTCCGTGACCATGCTGCGGGAGGGGGTCCCAGGAGAGGCGTTCTGGGCACCAGGTGTGAGGTTAAAGGGAAGAGGGAACCCCACAAAACATCACAGGTTCGGTAGGCGCAATTGTACAGCGATAATAAGTAGAGATTATGGTACAGTCATAGAGAGCATGAGAGTTAAAGGATGGAGTCAGACGCAATTCATGGTAGCATTGCTCACCTCAGCTCCGCTTGATGGTCCTCGTGGAGGGAGGGGGCTCAGTCGTCAGAGAAGAAGCCGCTGCTTCGTCCTCCTTAGCCACCTTCTCCAGCCACCCTCGGCCAGTCACCCTCCCGAGAACCAGGGAGCCTCCTTATTTATTGCTAACCAC